CACCATCCACGTATTCCACGCACTCCTTACGTTGGCCTTGAAGGGTTTGTTCAGGCAGACGTCAAGTGGCTGTAACAGGGAGGTGCATCCACCGGGGATCACGGCCTGATGTGTTTTGGTGTCAACCAACTTCCTCCTACTGCTTCGCACAAATGTGCACGGAACATATCCCACACAAGCAGGGACTTGCATCCTCTAGCAGCACCGGGTCTCTTCATCCATACGTTCTCTAGCCACTTGAGTACATCCATCCTTTATCCTGTACTGTGACGTACACGCTACTTGGGAACTTGTCCTTCGGCATGGTTTTCCGTTTGAAAATAAGCATTGGGTCCAACTCGGTCCCATGGGCCATGCAGGTTAAGACCACCGTAAAGTGTTGCTTCTCCGCCCAACATGTACGAACTGACACCGTCGAAGTCCCCTTGGTGTCGATGGTCCTTGATCCTGGCATGTTGAAGTTCAGGGGAGTTTCGTCCATATTGCCGATCTGGCTTAAATCGTATTCTACCTTCTTACGCTCACGGATTACAAATTGATGGAAAAAAAACACTTTTGTTTCCACTTCAGCAGGAAGTTTCTGTGCAATTTGGGTTTTCTGCCTCAGTGCTAGGTTGTGTCGCCTTAAGAAGCACGAACACCAGTTTCCCGATGCCTTGAATGACTTCGGGAGATCCATGTCTTTCCTCGTACGATAAACATAGAGTGCTCGCTGTGGAATCCTGCGTGTGACGATGCACGCTGACTGTCGCAACTCTCCGATCCACTGGAAAAGAATATCTTCCAGTGGCTTGAATGGCGTCTCGGATCCCCGTCTGGCCTTCTTCGTCTTTGGCAGCTCCTCAAGAGACGGCTTCGCTTTCCTCCATTTCCTAACCATCGATTCATTCACTGAAAACTCACGTGCAGCAGCACTGTTGTTTGTACTTTCAGCATAGGAAACCACCTTAAGCTTGAAAGCAGCGTTGTAGGCGAATCGTTTTCTCTTGGCATTCATGATGAAGAATGTCAAGTCAACGAATAACGAATTATTTATACCCATCCATGGTCTACTCAAATACTCAACCATCCATAATCCCTTAAATCCACTACACGGCTTCCCTCCGACTATGAAAAGAAACAATGGGTTTGATCTTTGGTGAGATAATGGGAATAATTTAATTGCCAATTAACTATGTTGTATCTAACTAGGCTTATGTTTGCGTCACATTCAGCGTGTTTATTCAACATTCACTTATACACACGGTCTCCAACAGTTGTTAATACAACTGTTAAAACAACGGGAATTGATTTCAGCTTCACCGATTATCACATGTTAGGTCACATGTGAAATATGCAAATACTTACCGGTACTTCCGGCTCTCTACTCACGGATGTTGATTGTTTTACCGTGTCAGCTGGCTTGACATTCTGGATCGAGGCGAGGGTCATTTCGACTTTGCAGAAAATATTCAACTTTATTCAAGGAAAACAGATACAAATCATGTTTATGTATGGAAATAGTTATTGGAACAGTTATTTAGGACGAAATGCGAAGTTTTATTGTCAAATGCTGGGCTGGCTATCGAACGCCAGTTGACATCGCCAGTGGAAGCTGAAAGTGACACACCTGGAAAAAAATGTGAGATCATAGACTCCGTGTATAAGACAACCCCCCTTCTTAACCCCCTCATTCTAGGTATGAAAAACTTGCCTTATACACAGCGATATACAGTACCTGAAGTCATGTCATGAGTGCCGTTCCTCCTAGTAATACCTGAAGTGTTATGAGTGTAAAAGAGGATTTTTAGCTTGCTGGTTGGTCGCACAAATTTGTTAGTTTTGAATGAGTGTTTTAGGCATTAAGTTGTCTGTTGATATTCACTTGCATTATGCTGAAACTGAACACCAAATAAAACAGAAAACAAAAGTGTTTTTTTATATTATTATTTACATTTAACATGATTCTGAAAGACTAAAGATGCACCATTCTTTTAATTTAAATTTATAAATACTCAAATGTTTGAAAAAGCTTATTATAAAACAAGTGATACCAACTGAAGTAGTCAAATCATGATGCGATCGAATCGAATTGAATCGCACATGTAAAATCGATAATCGAATTGAATTGCATTGTATGTGAATTGGCCCACCTCTAGTGTGTACTATGTTCAGTGTGTAGAAGTTTTGCCTTCCTGACTAACGCTCCCTTTTTTCCGGCTGCAACTTTTCGAGGATTCTTAGTCACTCTCACTTGTGGTGTTTCCACCTCCATTTATATTATTAGGTGGGCACGTATGTTTAAATTGACAATACTTAGCCGTTATTTAAGCGGTGGTAGGCGGCTCCAAGAACATTACGTATCTATGGTAAAACTCACAGCTTAAATTACTGCGCTTAAAGTGTGTTCGATGAATGGGTCTTTCTTGAGAGATTCGCATAAATACAGGTGATTTTCTGGCAGGATAGAAAGAAACGTACCAGCTACAGCTGTGTATACTTGTAACATAGCTGAACCTATTGTTTTAGTCATGGTAGCTCCCAGTCTAGACTCGTAACGCGCGTAGAGTTTTTTAATTTCTTCGTCGGTCATGTTATCAATTTTTTCAGTGGTATAATTTTCCCTCTGTTATTGGGAGCATTTTCCACCAGCTACCAAAGCTGCGAGTCTTTCTCTATGTTGATCTGTTACTACAGGCTCTGGCTCATCTTGGAGCAGTTGTTCATCACATTCCATCTTTTTAATGTAGTACCCTAGCCAATAAATAAGTCTAACATAATGAAATATGACAAATCCAATACAGCCCAAAATAATAAACTGTTAAAAAAGAATTAGGATTTCAAACAACATTATTACATTATCATCGCTAATGTTCAATTTACCGCATTTTGCCATATTTTGCCATATTTTGCTATATTTTTGCTATATTTTTGCTATAATTTGCTAAGCAGTTGCTAAAGTTTGCTAAGCAATTGCATAAGCAGCTGGTTGGTCAGTTTTTAATACGAGTTTATAGTGTTCGTTTCTGCTAACAGTTTTCTGACTTTATCTCACTCGAGCTTGGTAGAAATAGCATAATTTTTGCGTAGACATTCCTCGAAGGAGTCTCGGTCTTTGCAATGAAACAGGGCTACCCATTTGGTCTGCTATCTGAGAACTTTCAGGACAGAGTTGTATTTTTGAGTAAGAACCCAAAAACTTTGCTCCATATGCCGACCGGAGAATGCTAAATATGAAAGCATATCTTTCTTTTTGGAAAGTTCTTTACTCGCACTGCAGTCGTCTATCATGACAAGATTTGATTCTCCTTTGTATTTTTCGTCATATACTCGTAAACAGTCTTGTAAAGGATAGCCTGGATCAACTTTGTGCACCCCGGGATCATTCATTACCCATTCTCTCGATAGGTATGTTTTATTAACGTTTATAGTTAGTCACAGAATAATAATATGGTCGAAAACATTCTGATAAAGACTTTGTAAATTATCAAGAATAAAAGCTGTTTTTCCACAACCCGTTTGCCCGCAGATGATCATCACGTACAAATATATGTTTAATTTACCAGCCTTTTCGGAGATCTTTGTTATCTTTATAGTAACACCCTCGCTAGCATTTTCTATTCTCCTCCCACTACCGTTTAGTTGGTCATCTTCTGTGGTTCCCATTTCGAACCATTGCGCATACTTCGTGGTAAGAATTCAGCCAGCGATACATCTCCAAAAGACATATCTTTTGCAACCGCGTTAACTTCTGGGCTTCTTTTAATAGAAGGGAGTGTTTTTAATCTCATCCCACTGTTGATATGCTCGCATGCCTTGACTATATAGTTGATTAGGCACGCCTTTGATAGTCGATTCTACTTGTAATCTTGGGATTATAGAACGCCTTGGTATTTCTTGCAAATGGTTCAGAAGGGTCCTCGAACAACATTAAAATACCCTTCAACGATTTAGCGGGGAGGTTTAGATTGATATTCCACGTCGGATCTCTTTTTGTTCCTGAGAAATCTTCTGGTGACAAAGCACGCGATCATACAAAATGGCTAAACTTTCGTTATGCTGGTTACGAATTTGTCTGGCTAATTCAGGATCTGTTATCATATCATACTCCAGTGAGATATTGTCAATGGAATAGCTAGTAGCTTCAGTAGCTTTGATTTCTCTGCTGTAGTCATTAAAAGAGAGTTTGTATACTAACCTGTCGCCTTGCGATGCTTGATAGAAGGGCATGTAGGGGGACTCAAAGTAACTCAAAGTCGAGCGGAATATAGAATCTTCTACCCAATGCATCAGCAACGGCCTTATTTTCTACGATGGTATTATCACCAGTAGAAGCACCCACACGCAGTCTCATTGTATTTTTATTACTAATACCTTGGTACTGTAAGTTTTCCTGTTCTTTCGCCGTTCTCCAGAGATCCATGTAACAGAAATATTCATCACTGTCACCAATACTCAAAACTTCATTACCGCTAATTTTAATCGTGATTCTCCATACAATTGCACGACCTATGTTCTGAACATGCCCCCTGTTAAGGTCATCAGAAGCCAAACTAATTGTAAATGATAGTCGGGCAGTTCTTGGAACTAACACATCTTGAGTGCCGAGATTAGGAAAGCGAACCAGAAGTGTCTGATTCTGATCAATGGTACTCGGGTTATTACCCCCTGCCACGAAGTGGAAGGGGGATATAGAAATGGGTGCCGTCCATCTGTCTGTCAGTCACATTTCGTTTCCAGAGCATATCTTGAAAAATGTACCATATTTGTTCACCAAACTTGGCACATAGATAGGTGAAGTGGTGAACTGGTGCCTTTTGTTTTTGGATATTTAAAAAAACCGTACCATATTTCTTCACCAAACTTGGCACATAATGTCATCGATTGCGGTGTAAAATAACCAACCAACCATAATTTCTCTCTCCCCCCCCCCCCCCCCCCAAACCGAAGTGGTAAACGTCCAAGACCTTTATGAACTTGTAGGAACATTTACAACTCAAGTAATGTTATGTGTGTCCTAGATTCTTCAAGAGCATCAAGGATTGATCCAGTAGAGGAAGAGGACGAAAGTGAGTCAGAATTTGAGAACTCATCCTTGCATAAGCGAGACTCAACAAAGTCACTGCAGTCCAATACATCATGGGAAGAAGACTCGTCAATGCTTGAGCCTCGCAAGACCACATCAAGAGTCTCTTTCAAGAAGGATGCAGAGCTGTCAGAAATACATGATATTGTAAGATTTTAATGTATCATATATATTGTTTTCATTTTAGGCGTCTCTAAAATGTTATTGATTGAGCTTATTTCTGTATTTATTTCAGATGATGAGGGGAATGATCAGAACATTTAGAAATATTATGATCTCAGAAATCACATGGCTCAGAATGTGATGATAATGGCAACAAGAAGTTTTATTTTTGTTCCAGGCTTGATAACTGGTATATTATCTGTGCAGGCACGTAGTGGTGTAGAGGGGGTAACTGTTGTGTGACTCTTCATGTGCAAGGTGGGTCAACTTCCTGTGACACATGTGCTCGCTGGAGAGTATAGCCTTTATTAGCTCACCGGGTCTGAAGGACCAAGGTGAGCTTATGCCATACTGTTGCGTCCGTCAAATGACTTCTTCTTCTGACCCACTAATTGGAAATTTGACTGGAAACATTCCAAGGTGTTGGGGATTCAAAATTGTACAAATGGTGGGGCTGACCCCCCAAGGGGCTGAGGAGCGGGGCTAAAAAGGTAATTTGGCTATATTGCTTTAACTGACTTCTTCCCTTTTCTACCTATCTAACTTTTTAGGACAAAATTCAAGTAAAACCATTTCTGAGGCTTTTTTTTTTTTTAAATTGGCCTACCTCACTTTGGAAATGAGCTTGAAATCCGTAAACCAGGAAATAAAAAAAAGAGGCTGAGGGATGGGGCCAAATAGGGGTAATTAGGCTATATTGCTTTAAACGGCTTCTTCTCTGGAACTAAGAGATAGATATCAACCATATTTGGTTGGAAGCATTGTCCAGTGGTGAGGATTCAAAATTGTACAAATGGAAGGGCTGATCCCGTAAGGGGCTGAGGGGGCGGGGCCAAATAGGGTAATTTGGCTATATTGCTTTAAACGGCTTCTTCTCTGGAACTAAGAGATAGATATCAACCATATTTGATTGGAAGCATTCTCCGGTGGTGAGGATTCAAAATTGTACTAATGGAGGGGCTGAGGGATGGGGCCAAATAGGGGTAATTTGGCTATATTGCTTTAACTGACTTCTTCTCTGGAACTAAGAGATAGATATCAACCATATTTGGTTGGAAGCATTCTCCAGTGGTGAGGAGTCAAAATTGTACAAATGGAAGGGCTGATCCCCAAAGGGGCTGAGGGGGCAGGGCCAAATGGGGGTAATTTGGCTATATTGCTTTAAACGACTTCTTCTCTGAAACTAAGAGATAGATATCAACCATATTTGATTGGAAGCATTCTCAGATGGTGGGAATTCACAATTGTACAAATGGAAGGGCTGACCCCCTGGGGGCTGAGGGGTGGGGCCAAAAAGAGTTTATAACTTGCACACAGTTAAGATCCCCCACCTTATGAAATTTATGTACAATTGAGAGTATGATGAGAGGAATGCTACCAGGGCTGGCCCTTCTGTTCATCTGTCTGGCACTCTAAAAGATTTGAAATCATCCACCTGTTTACAGCAGGCTGGCTGATAAGTGTGCTTCAGTTGGCTAAGCAGATTTTTGTTGATTTTCTCACCCCACAGGCATCTCCATCAAAAACAGCTGGTGCCTATCTTCCTTCTGGAATATCTGGAACAAACATGCCTGCAAAACCTATAGCACTGGAGAAACAGCAAGGTAAGTGGTATCCTAGATGCTGCCAGATTGATAAAATCTGTGATCCAAGGAGGAGTATTTATGGATGTCAACTTCCTTATTATGAAGAACACAATGTTTTGGAGTATATGCTTACTCCTTCATCAGGCGTGCCAAAATCCGTTTGGAGGCATTTTTGAGGAAAAAGAGCCCCAAAAATGAGCTAGACGTGAAAAGTATGGCCTAAAACTCTGCCCCTATGGGGGCCGAGAGTTTTTCGATAGAAAGTGAAGCTGTATTCTAGCGGTATCGACTTCATGTTGTGTATGGGCGGGACATGAATGATGTGAGACTTGACGTGTCTGATCAAGTGACTTTCCTTATTTGGACATTACTCAAAAGCAACTACGCTTATACTTATAGTGCAGAACTTGTAAATTCAGAAACTGGGGCTTGTGCAAATAAAACAGTCAATTTGGAGAGCAGTGAAGGAATCAGAAAGAAATATTTCAGTTGTTCACTTGATCCTTTGATTCAGTTTCTTAGTTGACATTAGCCGAGTTTACAATTTACCTTAACATTTTTGTTAAAGGAAATGATGAAAAAGATGCAGAAAGAGAAATTGAACTAGGCTTAGATGGATCTACAGACTTATTTCACTGTAATGAAGAGTTCAACATCTCAAATTATTTGTTTGAATGAGTAGGAAACGATCGAAAATCATTTTCCTATGAATATTCATATGCGTTTATGAATGAACTCATACTGTAGTGCAATTTATTTGAGAAAGGGGGGGTCCGCCCATATTTTACTTTTAAAAATTTCATAAAGGTTGGGTTGTACCCCCCTATGAACCCTGCTGTGTTTATCCGTCTAACAAAATATATTCTAGAAACAGAATGAACTTACCGTAGTGCAAATTTATTTGAGTTACACTCCCCTTAAACCCCCCTGTGTAGTCTGAATAAGAAACTACTGATCTGAAGACAGTTGTTTATTTGTCTGTACCAATGTTGTCCCTATGTCAGATATGTCATGAAGTAATGAAAAAGTTCTGTTCTGTTGGAGAAAGGTACATGGAAATATCCTACCTTATGTATATTTTGAGGGTTCTCACCAATGAAATAATGTGTAATTAGTGTGGCAGGACTTTCCAGGTTTGTTGCAGTATGCTCTCGTGTGTTTGACAGTGACACTCATGCATGTCCCCTGAAGGAACATGAACCATTGTGAAATGTGATCCAACAGGTTTTCGTCTATCAGTCAATATAAATTCAAAATAAATGCAGATCATCACCAGCTTAGGATCTGACATACTTGATCATTTTGATGGGTTTCTGAATATACAGTCAGTATAGATCCTTATGTTCTATGTGTCTCAGCCTTCTGGGTGGAGTGAAAAGAAATGTCCCTGTATACATGATTACCTGTGTCAGATGTATTTTGTCCTGTCAGCCACACACCCTAACTTTATGTCCCCTTATGTGTAGTCCAAGAGATAGCATGGAATTTATTTACCTCAGAGGTCCAAAAGGTTTGAAATGTAGATCATGAAGAAGAATGAGTATATTTTCGAAAAATCAATTTCTTACAAATTGTATCTTGACCATTTCCTCACAGTATGCCATTAAAGGCATGACTCAGCAAAAAATTTTAGTGCACATGTGATTAAGGAAAATGCGAAAAGTTTAATAAAAATTGAAAATGACTAAAGTTATTTGGGTATTGAAGTGAAGGTATGAGTATATACTTTATAAAAGAACACAATATTGAACCCACTATATCAAAATGTCTTATCTGTGATAGGAAATATCATAATATTTATGATTTTGTTTGCAAAGTACCATCTTTTGTTTCTTCTTACTCCTGTAATATGAGGTTTTAGTTATCTCAGTAATTTTGCTTTACAAGCCCAACATTATAGAAACAATATTTTTCATTTTCAATACTTTCAAATGATTAATCATGAAGATTCAGAGTTTTATTCAAAGGAGTCAGGATGATTTTAATTTTGGTAAAGGGAGATAACTCCATCCAAAAATCATAAACCATGACAATTCAGACAGTTCAAGTACAATTAATGTAATAAAAAGGACCAGATTTGAATAGAGTTAATCAATTAACCTTTCTAATGAAGTTTTAGTATATAATTTCAATCAAGTGCAATGACTGGTCCCTGATGCCAAGATGGCCGCAATGCTGGAAGCATGTGGACAGCAGGATGGAAAAGGTGAGTTGTTGTAAATACCCTTATCAGTATCTTTTACACTGTTTGTCATAAGTTGTGTAATGATCCACAGAATATATCATCACCAGTTCAACAGTATAAAGTCTTGTGATCAGTTATAAATCTCCTGCAAAAAGTTAAGGCTATCAAGGGAGACTACTCTTAATTTCAAGTATTTCCAGGGAGCAGTTGTTGTATTAGTTTGGGGCTATTCAAGTTTGATTAATCATTTATAAAGCAATTTGCTTGTTTTTTAGATGCTGTGTAGTAGCAACACCATTCATTGACTGCAGAGGCACTTAAATATGAAGAATGAATGATCAAAATCTCAAATGTATTCTGCATCTGGGTCAACATTCAAAAGAACCAGTCAAAAGGTTTGACAGTGAGTCATGGCAACAAATACAAAATGCTGCCAAACTTCGTCTGAACAAGTATTCTTCATCAAAATACCATAAAGCATGTGAATATGTGAGATGCCATTGAACCGTCCTTTGAATATCATATCATCTGCTACAAAAATTTCACAGCTATTCCAAAAGAGAAAACTGAGCACCAAAGAAATGCATCTGTAACGTAGTACGTTCAAGATAGCCTGGTATTGCTTGTACTTCCTCTGGGGTATTTGAAAATGTTTGCATTTTCTGCAAAGCTGTTTCAAAGCGTGTTGGGAATCATAGAGAAACACTTGGAAGATGCGAGAATTTTGATGCTGCAGAAAAAATTAATTCTGCTGCTGAAACCCTGTGTGACCAAGCGCTACTTGCTCAGATTTGTGACGTAGATTTCATATCGAAGGAAGTAAAATATCACCATTCTTGTCGTAGGCTTTACCTCAAAAGAGCAGAAAATATATCCATCAATCATGGAGCATCTATGGAGCACTCTGACAACAGCAAAGAAAACCTGAACAACAATACACATGAGACAGCCTTCAAGACATTGTCACTCTATGTTGAACAAGAAATTATTGTTAAAAATGGCGCTGAATACCTCACATCTCTGCATAAACAATATGTGACATTCCTTGGGAGTGAATCTAAATACAGTGCACAGAAGGTGGAAGCTAAATTGCTGAACAAGTACAAGAATGAAATAAAGAGTACCAAATCCTCCAACAGAAAAGGAAAAGTAATTTTTTCTTCAAGTCTATCAAATGAAGATGCGGTCCTGTAGGCTGAGGCACAAGCAAATTCCAATTCTGCACGTGTAGTGGACGCAGCTTTTATTCTGAGGCAGGAAATAATCAGGATGAGAGATGAGTCGAAGGATCTACCATTGCCCTTGTCAGCACAAGTTATAGGAAAGGGTAATGGCCAACCCTCCAGTGATTTAATGCGATTCTATAGAACATTGTATACAGGCTCTCCAAGGCCCAAAGATCCACCTAGTGTCAAGGCTGAGAGATGCATCAGGTCATCAGCAGATGACGTTCTCTACAATACCGTATATGACCGCGTATAAGCCGAATTTTGAGGACCAGAAAAAAGATTCTGTAGAAAGGGGTCGGCTTATCCACGGGATACACTTTCATGATAGTATTTTTCAGATCGTGATCTGTCAGAAACATCGCCTGAATGACGGTCCGATAGATTACAACTTCCCGAAAGTTTGGAAGTTGCCACAACTAGAGCCATTATTGTTATAAATTATCAATAAAGTTATTATTATACACCAATGTTGTCATTATTAAAAAAATGTTATGCATGTTACTACTTCCGATAATAAGTTTTCAATTGAATGTTCAAAGTTTATCGTTCTTCGTCAACTCCACAATCTTTACATGTAACAATATACGTAATTCACAGCTATAATATATAATCCCCAGATAAAATCGCCAATAGCTATTACGTACGTTTTGCAAAGTTCATAAATTGATAGTGAACAAGTGTCTACCTTTATTGAAAGGGGCAAATAAACAACTGTATTGGCGAGTTATTCCGTTCGCCATTTGCAAAAACATGTGATCAGCTGTTTCCTGTGACGTCACAAACGGTGACCACTGTGATTGCTTCCTGTTGTTTAAAGCAACACGGTACACAAGGAAATCAGCATTGATAATAACGGGCCGATTGCTATTGTCATGTTGTTTACACAAACATTTTCAAGTTGTGGGTGCTTAGCGATCGTGTTGGGAGTAGGGGCTTAATTCCTTTGTTTTCGAGAGATTAGTTTAATAAACTGGAAAAGCCTGTGAGTAAGTGATGGTCATTCAATGTGTTCATAGTATGATAGTTTATTTAATTCAATTGGATTAACATACAATAGTGGTGTAAAGGGGGTTATAAAAGTTGGTATATTTTTACTGACTGACATTTTCATCATGAGTTTTAAACGAAAACGCCATGCTTACGATGCTGAATTCAAACTGCGAGTTTTCGCTCCAGCTGATATATTTTCTCACGGGTTCAGAATTCTATATACACCGATTCACAAAATGGCGCTTGGTTGTTGATGGCAACTATAACGATCATTATGAGATTAAAAAAACCCACGAGAAACAGCTTCCCACATTATGAAAGTGGATGACTGGTTTGTTAAATCTTTATTAGAAATAATAATGACTTTTTCAATATAATTACAACGTTTTTCATCTTATATTTTTGAATATCTGCGAGTACCGGCACATGTCTTGCAGTCCGACTTCGCAGTGTTTTTTGTCTTTCAATTCCTGATTCGGCTTATCTGCGGGTCATATCATTTTCTTTCGTATTTCAATGGTCAAATTAACACCTCGGCTTATCTACGGGGTCGGCTTATCCGCGGTCATATACGGTACTTCAAATGGAACTATCAAACCAGGTAAACATCTAAA